GACAAGCATAGGTTACTGAAGACCAATTCTAACCCTCATGTAGCTGGAATATTACCGAATACAATATTGACCAACAAACCAACAAAACAAACCAACCACATTCAAATATTCATCACTTCTTTGACTTTCTGCTCCCACTTGAGTAATTTTTTGCAGACAACTGAGACAAATTATTATCTGGGATGACATTTTGAATTTACTTTTCACCAAATAAAACTGTAAAACAAATAAATTCAAGTTATCTGAATTTTAATGAGAATTACATGTCAAACATGATTTGCTATTTGTCAAACATTAAATTAATGAGCCCCAAAATACATTAACTGTGAAATTCTCGGAAACAACCTTTGAGGTGTATTGATAAAAGGCAAACACCAATGAGGCCTTTATTTGAAAAACGTCCGCTGGCCTCCAATTCCAGGGTAAATTATGCAAAAAAATATCCATTGACCAAGTTTGATTACCATGGTGATTCTCACTTTAGCCAGAATCCTGTAATTTTGGCGTCGGTTTCACATCTGATTTGTGGAACGAGTCAACTAAAGTTAGGTAATTTAATCACAAAACATTGGCGGTATCCCGTTACCGATTCCAGAAAAACCTCCACTCTCCGCCAGGGGAGTCGTTAGAGTCAGAAGATTGAGTGAACTCACAACTAATTTCCAGATTTAGGTTATTCAAAGGAATGGGGTGGGGATATTTTGTGCAGGATTCTGTTACCTGGGGTAAATATGAGGCTCGTGTCTTGTTTTCAGCCAAAGAAAATTGTGTATCTTTTCAAGATGAATCCAAAGGACCTTCTTTTACAGGGTGTCAAAGGTTTTAGACAGTCTTGTTTAAACATGACAGAAATTCTGCTATTTTTGGTTGGTTTTGTTCACTTCCAGTTTGTAGCAAATTTGAAACAGAAAACTTGAGAACAACTCACAATTACATCATTTGTGTTACTTATCAATGGAGGGGCAATATTATTATGCATGGAAGGCTGGGGATCTACTGTGTGAAAGAAACGACACATGGACACAAGTAATGACCTATTCTAACATCTGTTCCCCTCAAGAATGATCCATTTAGGATTATTAAAAATATGACTGTTAAGGCTTTAATCTTATCATTTTGATTAGGACCCAACTCATTAAATTTGATCATGGAATTGTAAATGGATGTCAATTAATATGCAAATTGATTTTGTTTAGTGTGAAAGCCACATTAAATTTGAAACCATGATATGTACGTGAAATCTACAAGGGAGGTTATGGGCTGGAACTACGGAGAACATGCTTTGGACTAATGGGAATGTACCTCGCTGAATTAGGTAAATGTTATTCCAGATGAAAAGCAATTCTTTTGAAATGAACAAGTGTTGATTTCAAGTCCCCTGGGTCTCCTTACAGGGGAAGCAGGGTGACAGAGTGATCGATATCACATGTGATGACAGATGAGACGTATATGTATTTCATGAAAGATCACAGCACCCCTCTCCAAAACAAATAAGTTAGTGTCTGTGTACACCAGGAGATACTTCTTGTGAATAATGCATCAGTCATACTGTGTCATCTTGGAATCAAATCGCGTTTGTTTTGGGTAAATGTGTCCGTTTGATTAGAGCATGGAGTCTTGATTGGCTGTCAGGTTGGTTACAGACGAGGTGTTGATTTCACGCTGACGTTGCCTCTTCAGTCATGAAAGGACAGCATGTGTCATTCTGATTGTCATGGATAATGTTGTGACATTTTTAATGTCACAGATGGCACATGTCATTCTGACACTCAAAGAAGCTACAATTGTCCTTCTGGGTGTTGGAATGATCCATGTTTTCTGGGTGTCATACCTGAAACGTCCTTCTGGGTGTCATACAAGAAACGTCCTTCTGGGTGTCATACAAGAAACGTCCTTCTGGGTGTCATAGGAGAACATTTGTCCTTCTGGGTGTCATAGAAGATACATTTGTCCTTCTGGGTGTCATAGGAGAACATTTGTCCTTCTGGGTGTCATAGAAGATACATTTGTCCTTCTGGGTGTCATAGAAGAACGTTTGTCATTCTGGGTGTCATAGAAAAAATGTTTGTCCTTCTGGGTGTAATACAAGAAACGTCCTTCTGGGTGTCATGGGAGAAATGTTTGTCCTGGGTGTCATAGAAGAAATGTTTGTCCTTCTGGGTGTCATAGAAGAACCATTTTGTCATTCTGGTTGTCATAGAAGATACATTTGTCCTTCTGGTTGTCATAGAAGAAGCGTTTGTCATTCTGGGTGTCATAGAAGATACATTTGTCCTTCTGGGTGTCATAGAAGAAGCATTTGTCATTCTGGGTGTCATAGAAGAAATGTTTGTCCTTCTGGGTGTCATAGAAGAAACGTTTGTCCTTTGGTTGTCATAGAAGAAGCGTTTGTCCTTCTGGGTGTCATAGAAGAAGCGTTTGTCCTTCTGGGTGTCATAGAAGAAGCGTTTGTCATTCTTTTGGGTGTCATTCTGAAGGTGTCAAAGAAGCGTTTGCCATTCTGGGTGTTATAGAAACAGCCTTTGTCATTCTGGGTGCTTAATAAGAAGCATGTTTCATTTTAGGTATTTTAGAGGAAGCATTTGTGATTCTGAATGTGCCCTTCTTAATTTGATAAATGATACATATTTTCATTCTGAATGTCATAGACGATACTTGTATTAGAACTTCCAGTTGCACAAAATTTAAATACCCTCGAGAGCAAACAAATACAAAGCTACTCAATATGATCAGAGTTGTCTGAAAGGGCTATATCTTGTCAGCGTATACAGCAGTACAGTGTATTGTACAGCATTGTCTGAAAGGGCTATATCTTGTCAGTGTATACAGCTGTACAGTGTATTGTACAGCATTGTCTGAAAGAATATCTTGGGCTATATCTACAGTGTATTGTACAGCAGTACAGTGTATTGTACAGCAATGTCTGAAAGGGCTATATCTTGTCAGCGTATACAGCTGTACAGTGTATTGTACAGCATTGTCTGAAAGGGCTATATCTTGTCAGCGTATACAGCAGTACAGTGTATTGTACAGCATTGTCTGAAAGGGCTATATCTTGTCAGCGTATACAGCTGTACAGTGTATTGTACAGCATTGTCTGAAAGGGCTATATCTTGTCAGCGTATACAGCAGTACAGTGTATTGTACAGCATTGTCTGAAAGGGCTATATCTTGTCAGCGTATACAGCAGTACAGTGAATTGTACAGCATAGTCTGAAAGGGCTATATCTTGTCAGCGTATACAGCAGTACAGGAAATTTGAAGGGAGGGGGTTCAGGGGGGTTCGAACCTCCTGGACCCCCCATTGTCTCCACGAACCCAAAACACCAAAAAAAAAAGAAATCTTCAATAGTGATCTTAAGTCATTTTCAAAAGGGGCAGAGAGGGTCAATCCCCTGAAACCAACAACACCCCACCCCCGGTGATCCTCCAATGCATGCTGAACACTTAATTACAGAGTTGATAAAATTCATTCCAAGCAAAATATCTGTCAGTCATACCCTTTATCATCATGATATAGCTTATGATGACAGCCGTTGTCTATATGTGATATTTTACTGTTATGACCCAATATGTTGACTCTTGATGCGTCCCACTGAAGCATCAGCAAAGAGGCTGAACAGAGTTGTCTCCCCTCCCCTTATCACGATGTTCAACATCATTGTCATAAACTGTTATTTGATGCTTCCCTCTGCAATTTTACAGACGTACAATATCAGACTTTAAACACTGAAGCTTAGAACACATAATCCAGTGACTGACGTCATGAGCATCTATCCTAACCAAGCCAGACCACAGAATCCATTCAGTCGGCTTCTGTGACTAGCGTAGGTTACTTGTTGCAACAAATGTACACAAGTAGAAAGATTGCTGAGTCGGCAATATACAGCTAGTGGTTGATGTTGTGAGCATCAGTCACACTGAGCCATCGATTTAATAAACTCTTGTGTAATGGACGGTTCATTGGCTGGTTGTTTAACGCCACACTCGGCAATCTCCCAGCCATATTGGGATCAGTTAGCCTGACCACCCGATATCGGCTGTGGTCAGTTAAACTTCCTGTGAACTCTTTAGAAACGATGTGTAACATCGCTTTCGTTAGGATTTACCTTTTTGCTATTTATGACAGACGACACATTGAGGTACCGCAATAATCATTGTGAAAAATGTGTCGGAAGCAGAAGTAAAGAAGAGAAAGTCAAACTGGAACAAAGATGATCGAGGTCCTGATTTTGACGGAATTCATGAAAGCAAACGCCAGTGTTTTGGAGGGGAGGTATGGTCCGGGCGTGACATCGGCGAAGCAGCAAGACGCGTGGCAGGTAATGTAAACATTGGCCTCTACGGTCAACCTGTTGTCAGTAATACAGAAATGTTTTAGGCTACGTGCCAGACATTCTTTTTTATTTGTTTTGAAAATATATCTTGGCCATGATGGGGCTACAGCTTGTAGTATCAGGAATATTTATAAACTTTCCATTGTGTTTTGTTAACTGACAATTCCCTTGCTGCAGACATGAGACGAAATATAAAAGTTTGGAGTGATATCTAAAGTATTCTCATCATATATGTGGGATCAATTACTTAACTTGAGAACAATTTCTTTCAAGAATATTTTGGAAAAATAAAATTTAGGAAATCCTACTTTGAAAAAAATATCCTTTCTCCTTAATATTCTGTCTCTTAATATATCCACAATTGTAAAACATATAATTGATTTTTAACATGTTATGGTTGTGACTTGGTGTTTTGGTATTTGGGTCACTTCTGAATGTATGTAATGAGTGAGTGAGTGAGTATGGTTTTATGCCACTTTTAGCAATATTCAGCTATATCACGGCGGCAAACACCAGAAATGGGCTTCACACATTTTACCCATGTGGGGAATCGAACCCAGGTCTTTGGCATGATGATCAAACGCTTTGACCACTAGGCTACCCCAACACATATGTAATGAACGACTGCTACTTATATTGTAATAACACAAAACAACATGCTTGTTGAAATTGAAAGAACATTTATATGAAAATTACAAGCACATTTTAATCATTTCATTTTGCAGAGAGATTTAAGCAGCCATGTCACAACCAGAGGGAGCCAGAGGGAGCCAGAATGTGTCCTGTGGAGCCAGCAGTCCATGCAGATGGAGCCATAATGCCACATGGTGGAAGCTCTGTTGAAACAGAAATTGCAGCTGGAAATAAAATACCTCACATTGAAAAAAAGATACCTAATACATCAAATCATGAAACTGAATTAGCTTAAACTGCCATACATGTATCAGAAATACTTACATATTTGGATATTAAGTGTCATATTTCATACTTTGTCTAACATAAGGGTTAAAGAGATTCTGTTAGAAAAACTATCGGGGGACTTTTAGCCGAATAGAAATAAAAGTTTCAAAAGTACATAGTTAGGAAGATGATGAATAAAATATTACAAACAAATAAAGCTCTTGTGTATAATGTATTTAGAGTACAGGTGATAAAGCTGAATTTTGGTTTTTGGGGAGGATTTTGTGTATTAAATTTAACAGAACATGATCTACCATTTATGGTTCTAACTCAGACACTATTACATAACGTCATAAAATTTTACTTGGAAAGTTCGTACTGGTCAAGTGCTCCCTATATGTCAGTGCAGCCAGTGATGGAGTGATTTCTGGTAGACCTCCATTCTGCCCATCACGCCTTCCATATCCATCATGCCCATCTGTGGGTGGTACTGGAATGTTTCTGTCCTTGTATATGTTGTGAAGGTCAGCACAAGCTATCATCACCTGAAATATTGAATCATTAGTGATAAATGATCAAAATTAAACCTACTTCGTTAATAGTTAGTCTACAAATACATGCATGAGTTAGATATAAAGTTAATATTGACAAGGTCATGCAATAGAAATTTTGAAATGATGAGCTATTGAATTGCCATTTACATATTTTCAATGGCATAAGTAAATAGAAATTCAAACAACCCCATGACTGTTTATATTCGTGATATAGTTATGTCAATAAATATTGTTGAATATTTTTAGTGATTCATACATCACGCTAAATTGTAATTTTATATTCATTTTGTTGCTATTTATCTTTGATACCTGTCATTTTGTTTGTATTATTTATGTGGCAAGTAAACAGTGCTAAAGAACTAAATGTTGTTGATTATATTTTTCTTACCTTGCAAGCCTTCTCAGGTTTTAACCTTATTTCCCCATGAAGTCTTCAACAGGAAATCTGTGCTTGAGTTGGCCAATGACCCTTTCAACTGTGCTCCTTGTTCTTTCATGTGATCTAGGTTATGAAAATAACATATCATAGAGTAAACTGTACATAAGTCTCCAGCACAGTAAAAACTCTTTGTATTGTTATTGTACGAGGGCTGACTGAAAAGTGCTCGGCCTAAATTGGATAGATTATTTAAACATTTGCCAACAAGTCCAATCATTTAATGAATCAGAGACATAAGAACTGCAACTGTATTCAGAAAATAACTTTGAAAATTTGAAGTGACTAAAAATCCAGTATTTGGGTGTTTTAAGAAAAATAATTTCTAGAAATACTCAGCATACTCATAAAAAGTCTACACCCAGATTACAGATATCTTACTAATATGTCATATCTTGCGAAAACTGTATTTTGTAACTGCTTCGGATATCCAGGCTAAATATAACGGCGTTTGTGCTCTATAATGTGTATTGACTACGATCGTGCAATGTTTTTTCAAGTTAAATTCAAGGGACATCACTCTTTGTTGCTGAGTGTGATCATGTGACCAGTCATGTGACTTTGTAGCGACAGGGGTCACTCCCTTCAGTCGTGCTCAGTGTAGTGTTTGAATATATTGAGGATGTGTTTGAATATGGAGGAGTTATCTCCCTCTATATTTTGATTGTGAGTGGGAAGTAGGTTGAGTGGAGATTAGGTATTTGTTTCGAATATATTATGTAACTGTTATTTGAAATTCAAGTAAGTTTATGTTGTGTGATCACAAAAGATGTAAGTTTCACTAAATCACAATCGGCAACTTTACACGAAAGTGTACATACCTGTTGTGATTTGTTTGTGGTCCCACCAATAGTCAGGGGTTAGTAGCCACTTCTTACAGGGGTAACCACTGTCACTGAGAAGGTGATATCCGATGGGGACAACATTCCTGTCGAACAACTGGTAGACACCGCTGTTGGTCAATATGCGTGAATCGTGTGTTGATCCAGACCACCGAGCAACAACATCATTTAACCTGTCTTCATTATTGAAAGCAATCCTTGTATTGATGCTCTGGTAGTGATGTGGTAGACATTTTTTGTTTTCTGTTTTCTTGAAACTAAACGTACATTCCATCGATCACCCGACACCTATGTGGAAAGTTTGCAGTCTGATAAAAGTTGATCTGGTGATGCCTGATGTCACGAACATGACAAACTTCTTATTCTGGAAATCATTGTGACACCTGACTCTACCTGTAGATGATACCTTGATCGTCTGGTCTGCCTTATGATGTACAACATACATGATTCATGGCAAAATGTCTGCCTTATGATGTACAACATAGGATGATTCCTGGCAAAATGTCCGCCTTATGATGTACAACATAGGATGATTCCTGGCAAAATGTCTGCCTTATGATGTACAACATAGGATGATTTCTGGCAAAATTCTGCCTTATGATGTACAACATAGATGATTCATGGCAAAATGTCTGCCTTATGATGTACAACATAGGATGATTCCTGGCAAAATGTCCGCCTTATGATGTACAACATAGGATGATTCCTGGCAAAATGTCTGCCTTATGATGTACAACATAGGATGATTCCTGGCAAAATGTCTGCCTTATGATGTACAACATAGGATGATTCCTGGCAAAATGTCTGCCTTATGATGTACAGCATAGGATGATTCCTGGCAAAATGTCTGCCTTATGATATACAGCATAGGATGATTCCTGGCAAAATGTCTGCCTTATGATGTACAACATAGGATGATTCCTGGCAAAATGTCTGCCTTATGATGTACAGCATAGGATGATTCCTGGCAAAATGTCTGCCTTATGATGTACAACATAGGATGATTCCTGGCAAAATGTCTGCCTTATGATGTACAACATAGGATGATTCCTGGCAAAATGTCTGCCTTATGATGTACAACATAGGATGATTCCTGGCAAAATGTCCGCCTTATGATGTACAGCATAGGATGATTCCTGGCAAAATGTCTGCCTTATGATGTACAGCATAGGATGATTCCTGGCAAAATGTCTGCCTTATGATGTACAACATAGGATGATTCCTGGCAAAATGTCTGCCTTATGATGAACAACATAGGATGATTCCTGGCAAAATGTCTGCCTTATGATGTACAACATAGGATGATTCCTGGCAAAATGTCTGCCTTATGATGTACAACATAGGATGATTCCTGGCAAAATGTCTGCCTTATGATGTACAGCATAGGATGATTCAACGTGTATAGTAATAGCAATATTTCAGTGCCATAGCTATTCAAAGTTTAGAAAGAAAATTAGCTGACATATTTATGCTTATAATGTTAGATTTTATTTATGTTTTTTTCTCAAAATTGACGTGCACCTTGTGCAAGTTAGACTCATAACAAGGTTGCACTTTGTCATATTGCGTTGCACCAGTGCAAGTAAGAAAGCACTAAATCGAGCCCTGTAGGCACACAGTAAAACTCAGCGTACACCTATTAAATCATAAAAGCAATAAGTACAAGGTGGACAAATGCAAAAAAAGTCCAGGATAATTACTAAAAAAAGAGGACATATTGTGATGTAAGAGAGATATACAGAAACACATCATAATTAAAGAAATTATCTTAAATGATGTTTACATTTAACCACATTTGGCCAAACAAAGTAATATTATTTCATCAGCTTCACCCGCTGGTGGTTGAGATCCTCCGTATACCAGAGTTGTATGTAAAAACGTCTGAGATTCAACTGAAATTGATACATATTCTGCACAAGTTTGAGAAACATCCCCTCAATTCTTCCAGAGGCAAGTATCAAATTGAAATAATGTACTTGAAACATGAGTAAAATATCAATCACATCAGTCAGATAATCATTTTCATTCAGGTCCAAGCCAGGTCATTCAGGTTTTGTTCCTTTTTAAAATTTTGACTACTTGAGTTATTTCATCTTTTGTGATGCCAGAAGTAATTCCATATCATCATAAGTTAACATTTTGTTCATGACACACAGCAGGAATACCGTTCTCTGAATTGTTTTCATTCTGTTCCGTGTAATAGTTGAAGAAAGTTTCAGTATTTGGTTTAGCCGAATGTTTTGGTTCAGTATTTGAGTTAAGCATTTCCCAAAACTCTTTTTGTGAGTGTTTTTTGTTTTACTAGAATGAATTTGTTACGTGTTTCCTATGTTTGTTCATATATCTGTGCATCCATTGTTTATACGCTTTTGAAATTTGTCGTAATTGGGCTTGGATTTTTATAAGTTTGTTTCATGGACAGCACCACATATTGTTCTAAGGGCATCTAAAGTAATACTGGGCAGTTGTCCTTAATATGAGAGCAGTAATCAAAAGTAGGAAGTATACAGCATTTGTACATGGACTCGTGTTTTTCTAGACAAGCGATATTTGAAACTTCAGACAATTTATCATGGGACAAACACTTTTACTAATAAAGTGAATGTGTGCGTCCCATGAACAGTCGTTTTGCAGTGTTATTTGTTTATGACTTTTATTAACATCTTGGACAGCAATCGGTTTGGGGTTAACATTTCTGCGCGTGAACTGCATAGTATTTACCAAGCTGGATATTTTTTCTAGATCCTCATTTAGGCAGTTAGCTGCTTCAAATGGATCATCTACGATAGCAAAAAATGGATGTATCATCAGCAAAAGGTCTGATGTTACTGTTATTTCCATGAACTATGTTATTTATGTATACAGTTAAAAGTAGTGGTCCTAAAACTGAACCCTGTGGTCGTGGAACATCAGCCATTAGGGCTCTTAATTTGGATCTTAAAACATTAATACTATCAAAGCAGTTTAGTAAAAATAAACTGCTGAGTGTATAATGAAGCTTTAGAACAATTACAGCTTTATGTTTAAGAATTAAAATTTGAAATTCTTTGAAAGAATTCAACTGCAGAATTTTTTGCAGAATTTTGCAAACTGTGATGAAAAATTTACTTAAATTTTCTACGGAATTGTTATGAATTGGCCAAGGATTCCAGAAGGGAATGATCTGTCTATTTAATTTAGGTTGTTTTATCCAACTTTCCAGACTTCGATCAAAATACTGTAATTCAGGAGTAACGTCATATACAAAATATTCTGCATCACGAGGAAGATGAGATAGAAATGCTTTGTTTCCCTGTCTCGATAAGACATCGGCTCGACAATTTTGTTTAGCAGGAATCTTGATTGGAGATAAACAAATTTTAGACCTATACAGTTCCTCTTTAATTCTGCTAATGATCAAATTCTGAAAAACAGTTCTCCTCTGTCTTTTTTTCTTTGTCTTATTTAGAGAGGCCTCAGCACAATAAACTTTAAGCAAGTTCACTGTCGAATCGTTGTCACAGTAGGATTCAACATTCATACCTTGCCAGCCTCTACCATACAGTTTTAATGCCATTAAAATGGCTAACATTTCTAGGTCGTTGTTATGAAGTTTGTGGGGGTTGGAATAAGCAGCACTAAATATGTGAAACTTCTTTTCGTGATACCATCCCCCTAACCCTGCCACCTGTTTAAGGCTCCCAGATTTCTTGGAACAGGAGTCTGTGTACACCCGGACTGCTTGTAGGGTTTCTTTATGATTACAGCTGGATGAAGCTGGAAATAACAAAAATATATTCAAATGAGAAAGATGGGAGCAATATTCTAGCTATATGTTGACCATTTGTAAATAATCAGTACTAGCTAGGGCTACGAACATTTCAAGAATAGCTAGCTAGCTAATTTAGCTACGATCAAAGTTAAGAACTCTTAGGGCTATGAATGTTTTGAGAATAAGGGCCCTGGACCAGACAGTCCAGTGACTGACATCATGAGCATCAATCTGCATAATTGGGATACAGTGACATACATCAACAAGCCTGACAAACTGATCCTCTCAGTTCTTTCTTACAAGCATGGCTTGCTTACCCATAATGTAAAAAGAGACCATGGTGAAAAAAGACCATGGTCTATCATGGATTAATCATGTGCAGTAGATGGCACCACAGTTTACCAAGGTAACATAAATACATGGTCTACCATGGTAAAAAGAGACCATGGTATACCACGGTCTACCATGGATTACCATTGTAAAATAAGACTATGGTGTATTAACCACATGCTCCAAATGGCACCATGGTTAACCATGGAAAAATGAAACCATGGTCTACCATGGTTTGCCTCACAGTCTTCCATGGTAAGAAAGACCATGGTGTATCATGGATTACCATGTGACGTAAATGGCACCACTGTTTCCCATGGAAAAATAAGACCATGGTGTGCCATTATTTGCCAGGATCTACTATGGTGAAAAGAGACCAGGGTGTACCATGGATTACTACTGAAAAACTGAGATCAAGGTCAGTATACCCTGTTTGGTAGATGGCACAACAGTATACCATTAGAATAACCTTTGGTTATTGAGACTATGGTAAGAAACCAACCCCACCATACCACAATTATAGTCAAGCAGCACGCAGTATGGAAGAACTTTTCAGTCTTATGAACACATTGTGCTATTATAAATTACTTACCCTCATTATCTTGAACTGCCGGTCTTTTTTTACTGCTTTTGGACGTTAGCTCTTTATTATCTATAAAAAAGAAATCATGTAAGTGTATGACAGCAAATGTCAGAGACCATATGTACTGAAAGATGGGCACTTGCCCAGTTGGAGACCGGTCTCTATCATGCATGACCCAGTGGGACTTTCATGATAGACTGCAAGATTTGTGGAGTTCTCAGTTCCAAATTGTTCCAATAAACTAAGAGTAGATTTTACCATTTGACCATTAGTTTGTACATGGTTGATGGTGGTGTGGTAGCCCTGTAAAACGGTTCAATTCCCCACATGGGTACAATGTGTGTGGCCCATTTCTGGTGTCACACACCCTGATATTGCTGTAATATTGCTAAAAGGTTTTGTGAAACTAAACTCACTCACTCACTCTGGTGTCCCCCCAACCTGAACAAGCTCATTTGCATCAGATTAAAGTGGCACTAAAGTACTGTTGGAAATAAAATAAAAAACTGCCATTTTTCACAACCATATCTACAATTTATGTAGTTAATATGTGAAAATGTGAAATATGTAGACAATTGTTTTTCGGTTCTTGTAAAAGTAAGTTATAGCAAGTCAACTCTGGCACCATATTCACTATCTCCCCACAACAAGCAGCACGCAGTATGGAAGAACTTTTCAGTCTTATGAACACATGGTACCATAATACATTACTTACCTTCAGTATCTTGAACTGTCCGTCTTTTTTCACTGCTTTTGGGCATTATATCTTTATTATCTGAAAACAAGAAATCATGTAAGTGTTTGTTATGACAGCAAATGTCAGAGACCATATGTACTGAAAGATGGGCACGTGCCCATTTGGAGACTGGTCACTATCATGCATGACCCAGGGGCTTTCATGATAGACTGCGAGATTTGTGGAGTTACATGTGAGGGTTGACTACAACAAGTTTTACTGTGACTGTGTTCCTAGTGGTGTGTTTATCTAAACCACATCTCTAAAACCAATAGGTATTCTTTCCTGAAACTGTGAACACACAAAGACAAGGTTGTCAGATGGAGCCTTGTGCTACTTGGGTTGTTACAAATTTATGTTTACGTTTGTACATTTCCATGGCAGCCAGTTTAATTTTGACTCAGTTAATAGTGTTGTTCTTGTCAGGGCCATTTCTCAAAAGAGTACTTGGTATTCTTTCATGAAACTGCTGCCTTTTGCTCTTAGGAATGTTTAAAATTTGTATTTTTCCTTTGACTTTGATATTTGTGTGTATTCCATGTTATTGGCTTGATAGCTCAATAACTACTCTTGTATGCAGACGGACAGATTAGACAGAAATTCCCTCATCAAATTGGAATTAAAGTAACCATCAAAACAAAACATCTCCCAATACACAACTGTTGTAAAGAAAGTAGCAGCATGTGAGAAATATCCATGGTTGATGGTGGTGTGGTAGCCTTGTAAAGCGGTTCAATTCCCCACATGGGTACAATGTGTGAGGCCCATTTCTGGTGTCACACACCCTGATATTGCTGCAATATTGCTAAAAAGTTTTGTAAAACTAAACTCACTCACTCACTCTGGTGTCCCCCCAACCTGAACAAGCTCATTTGCATCAGATTAAAGTGGCACTAAAGTGCTGTTGGAAATATATAAAAAAAATAAAAAAATTCACAATCATATCTATAATTCATGTAGTTAATATGTAGAAATGTGAAATATGTAGACAATTGTTTTTCTGTTCTTGTAAAAGTAAGTTATAGCAAGTCAACTCTGGCACCATATTCACTATCTCCCAACAACAAGCAGCACGTAGTATGGAAGAACTTTTCAGTCTTATGAACACATGGTACCATAATACATTACTTACCTTCAGTATCTTGAACTGTCCGTCTTTTTTCACTGCTTTTGGGCATTATATCTTTATTATCTGAAAACAAGAAATCATGTAAGTGTTTGTTATGACAGCAAATGTCAGAGACCATATGTACTGAAAGATGGGCACGTGCCCAGTTGGAGACTGGTCACTATCATGCATGACCCAGGGGCTTTCATGATAGACTGCGAGATTTGTGGAGTTACATGTGAGGGTTGACTACAACAAGTTTTACTGTGACTGTGTTCCTAGTGGTGTGTTTATCTAAACCACATCTCTAAAACCAATAGGTATTCTTTCTTGAAACTGTGAACACACAAAGACAAGGTTGTCAGATGGAGCCTTGTGCTACTTGTGTTGTTACAAATTTATGTTTTGTACATTTCCATGGCAGCCAGTTTAATTTTGACTCAGTTAATAGTGTTGTTCTTGTCAGGGCCATATCTCAAAAGAGTACTTGGTATTCTTTCATGAAACTGCTGCCTTTTGCTCTTAGGAATGTTTAAAATTTGTATTTTTCCTTTGACTTTGATATTTGTGTGTATTCCATGTTATTGGCTTGATAGATCAATAACTACCCTTGTATGCAGACTGACAGATTAGACAGAGATTCTCTCATCAAGTTGGAATTAAAGTAACCATCAAAACAAAACATCTCCCAATACACAACTGTTGTAAAGAAAGTAGCAGCATGTGAGAAATATCAATTTTCCAGTACACATTACTCCTGTAAATATGAAAGTAAGTTTTTGGTTATCAAAGTCTATCAGAAAATGTATCATGTTTCTTTAAAATGTATTAATATTATATCACAGTTTATTTGAGTGTCTTGTCAAATACGTCTATCAGATGTATTAAAAAAATGATTTCATTGTTAGTTTTTTTCAACGACAGTTCATTCTGCTACAAATTAATCTCAGTTCCAAATTGTTCCAATAAGCTAAGAGTAGATTTTACCATTTGACCATTAGTTTGTACATGGTTGATGGTGGTGTGGTAACCCTGTAAAACGGTTCAATTCCCCACATGGGTACAATGTGTGTGGCCCATTTCTGGTGTCACACACCCTGATATTGCTGTAATATTGCTAAAAAGTTTTGTGAAACTAAACTCACTCACTCACTCTGGTGTCCCCCCACCCTGAGCAAGCTCATTTGCATCAGATTAAAGTGGCACTAAAGTACTGTTGGCAGTATAATTTTTTAAATTTGTTTTACACAATCATATCTACAATTTATGTAGTTAATATGTGAAAATGTGAAATATGTAGACAATTGTTTTTCGGTTCTTGTAAAAGTAAGTTATAGCAAGTCAACTCTGGCACCACATTCACTATCTCCCCACAACAAGCAGCATGCAGTATGGAAGATCTTTTCAGTCTTATGAACACATGGTACCATAATAAATTACTTACCTTCAGTATCTTGAACTGTCTGCCTTTTGTTACTGCTTTTGGGAATTATATCTTTATTATCTGAAAACAAGAAATCATGTAAGTGTTTGTTATGACAGCAAATGTCAGAGACCATATGTACTGAAACCTCACCTGCCCTGTCGCCGATCATACAGAGACTGAACAATTTCTGTTTCACGCCTAAATACCCTACCTCGCACACGATTGTTCAGCCAATCCGCCAACCACAGAACAATTTGAATGCAAAAAAAACTTGGCGGAAAACATTCAAACAGTGCTGGAAGTATGATACCCAAACCTCGCAGGAAATACATTTCCTGCACCCACGACTAACGAAAGGTACAGTTACTAACGCAAGTTAACTACCAACACCAACTAAAATGTCTGAACGAAACGAAACACATGCTCCCCGTTACACAGCAATGCATGTCCCAGATCAATAAGGAATATGCTGTGTATTTGTGTATTAACGATTTATAGAGCCTATTTATCCACCCTAAGCCAGTGTCATCCAAGGTTGTTGGTGATCAATATTCTTATCGGTAATGCTTGAATACCCTCTTGTTGTCACGAGAATTGGAACTGTAAACAGATGTAGCTGCACTTGCCATGGGTGGTGGTGGAACTGTAAACAGATGTAGCTGGACGTGCCATGGGTCGAGGTGGTACTATAAACAGATGTAGCTGTACGTGCCATGGGTGGAGGTGGAACTGTAAACAGATGTAGCTGGACGTGCCATGGGTGGAGGTGGAACTGTAAACAAATGTACCTGGACGTGCCATGGGTGGAGGTGGTACTATAAACAGATGTAGCTGTACGTGCCATGGGTGGAGGTGGAACTGTAAACAGATGTAGCTGGACGTGCCATGGGTGGAGGTGGAACTGTAAACAAATGTACCTGGACGTGCCATGGGTGGAGGTGGTACTATAAACAGATGTAGCTGTATCGCGCTATGGTGGAGGTGAAACTGTAAACAGATGTAGCTGGACGTGCCATGGGTGGAGGTGGAACTGTAAACAGATGTAGCTGGACATGCCATGGGTGGAGGTGGAACTGTAAACAGATGTAGCTGGACATGCCATGGGTGGAGGTGGAACTGTAAACAGATGTAGCTGGACGTGCCATGGGTGGAGGTGGAACTGTAAACAGATGTAGCTGGATCGCGCCATGGGTGGAGGTGGTACTATAAACAGATGTAGCTGTAATGTGCCATGGGTGGAGGTGAAACTGTAAACAGATGTAGCTGTAATGCCATGGGTGGAGGTGGAACTGTAAACAGATGTAGCTGGACATGCCATGGGTGGAGGTTGAACTGTAAACAGATGTAGCTGTACGTGCCATGGGTGGAGGTGGAACTGTAAACAGATGTAGCTGGACGTGCCATGGGTGGAGGTGGTACTATAAACAGATGTAGCTGTACGTGCCATGGGTGGAGGTGGAACTGTAAACAGATGTAGCTGGACGTGCCATGGGTGGAGGTGGTACTATAAACAGATGTAGCTGTACGTGCCATGGGTGGAGGTGGAACTGTAAACAAATGTAGCTGGACGTGCCATGGGTGGAGGTGGTACTATAAACAGATGTAGCTGTAATGCGCTGCCGGGTGGAGGTGAAACTGTAAACAGATGTAGCTGTACGTGCCATGGGTGGAGGTGGAACTGTAAACAGATGTAGCTGGACATGCCATGGGTGGAGGTGGAACTGTAAACAAATGTAGCTGTACGTGCCATGGGTGGAGGTGGTACTATAAACAGATGTAGCTGGACGTGCCATGGGTGGAGGTGAAACTGTAAACAGATGTAGCTGGACATGCCATGGGTGGAGGTGGAACTGTAAACAAATGTAGCTGGACGTGCCATGGGTGGAGGTGGAACTGTAAACAGATGTAGCTGGACGTGCCATGGGTGGAGGTGAAACTGTAAACAGATGTAGCTGGACGTGCCATGGGTGGAGGTGGAACTGTAAACAAATGTAGCTGGACATGCCATGGGTGGAGGTGGAACTGTAAACAGATGTAGCTTGACATGGTGGTGGTACTATAAACAGATGTAGCTGGACATGCCATGGATGGAGGTGGAACTGTAAACAGATGTAGCTGGACGTGCCATGGGTGGAGGTGGTACTATAAACAGATGTAGCTGTACGTGCCATGGGTGGAGGTGAAACTGTAAACAGATGTAGCTGGACGTGCCATGGGTGGAGGTGGAACTGTAAACAGATGTAGCTGGACATGCCATGGGTGGAGGTGGAACTGTAAACAGATGTAGCTTGACATGCCATGGGTGGAGGTGGAACTGTAAACAGATGTAGCTTGACATGCCATGGGTGGTGGTGGTACTATAAACAGATGTAGCTGGACATGCCATGGGTGGAGGTGGAACTGTAAACAGATGTAGCTGGACATGCCATGGGTGGAGGTGGAACTGTAAACAGATGTAGCTTGACATGCCATGGGTGGTGGTGGTACTATAAACAGATGTAGCTGGACATGCCATGGGTGGAGGTGGTACTATAAACAGATGTAGCTGGACTTGCCATGGGTGGAGGTGGAACTGTAAACAGATGTAGCTGGACTTGCCATGGGTGGAGGTGGAACTGTAAACAGATGTAGCTGGACATGCCATGGGTGGAGGTGGAACTGTAAACAGATGTAGCTGGACATGCCATGGGTGGAGGTGGTACTATAAACAGATGTAGCTGTACGTGCCATGGGTGGAGGTGGTACTATAAACAGATGTAGCTGTATCGCCATATGGGTGGAGGTGGTACTATAAACAGATGTAGCTGTAATGCGCTATGGGTGGAGGTGAAACTGTAAACAGATGTAGCTGGACGTGCCATGGGTGGAGGTGGAACTGTAAACAGATGTAGCTGGACGTGCCATGGGTGGAAATGGAACTGTAAACAAATGTAGCTGTACGTGCCATGGGTGGAGGTGAAACTGTAAACAGATGTAGCTGTACGTGCCATGGGTGGAGGTGGAACTGTAAACAGATGTAGCTGGACATGCCATGGGTGGAGGTGGAACTGTAAACAAATGTAGCTGTACATGCCATGGGTGGAGGTGGTACTGTAAACAGATGTAGCTGGACATGCCATGGGTGGAGGTGGTACTATAAACAGATGTAGCTGGACTTGCCATGGGTGGAGGTGGAACTGTAAACAGATGTAGCTGGACATGCCATGGGTGGAGGTGGAACTGTAAACAAATGTAGCTGTACATGCCATGGGTGGAGGTGGTACTGTAAACAGATGTAGCTGGACATGCCATGGGTGGAGGTTGAACTGTAAACAAATGTAGCTGGACATGCCATGGGTGCTTCAAGAGAAGCATACAACTTATAATATTTGGGATTACACTTTCTCAGTAAAGTACAGATTCTGGTACTTTTGTTGAGTAGAGTCCCATCCAAGATTCAAATCCACCCCCTCAGTGTCAGGCTCCTCCTCTTTATCATCACCCTCCTTATCATCATCATCACCATCATCACCCTCATCAGTACCCGTGAAGATCCGTATTAGAACTGACCTTCAGTAACCCATGCTTGTCATAAGAGGCGACTAACGGGATCGGGTGGTCAGACTCACTGACTTGGTTGACACATGTCATCGTATCCCAATTGTGTAGATCAATGCTCAAGGATGGATAGTTGGCTGGTTGTTTAACGCTGCACTCAGCAATATTCCATCTATATAATGGGGATCAGTTAGCCTGACCACTCGATATCGGCTGTGGTCAGTTAAACTTCCGGTGAACTCTTTAGAAATGATGTGTAACATCTCTTTCGTTTGGATTTCCCTTTTGCTATTTATGGCAGACGACACATTGAGGCACCACAGTAATTATTGTAAACCAAAAGTCACTGTGTTCTTTAATCTGATTGGTTGAAAAACGTGATCAAATGGTATTCGATTCCTGGAAATTCGCTGCGTATTAATACATACAAACATCGCTCACACCATTGTATTGTTACGTCGTCAGCTGTGATGACGTCATTCAAATCATATTGTGACGTAAAGTCTGAATGATATCACAAATGAACAGTTCCAGATGCTACCATGGGTGACAGCTGAAACGGCCGGCTGATGACATTTCACTGCTGTACCCGTACTCTATGTCAATGAGTGCAGACACAAAAACGTGTGTGGACCTTTTGGTTTACTTTTGTGTTTACAATGTCGATAAACATCATGTGTTGGCCAATTTCCGGGTGTTATTGAGTATTTGAAGCACGGGAATATTCCATTTGAAACCTCCGGCTGACTCCGTCGGTTCCAAATGAATTCCCGTTCTTCAAATACTCAATAACACCCGGAAATTGGCCAACACATGATGTTTATCTCCTAATTGTTCTTTGAAAACCAAGAAGAAGCATGAAGCATTGATGTTCATACATCCTGTCTTAGGCTGTGGTATGACATCAAGATTCCATGGAATATGTCAACAGCAATACAAATCATTCAAGCTGGAGGGAAGGCCATGGTTTGTCTCCTGTATGGAGAAACAGGTGAAAGTCTGAACTTACTCACAGACGTTGTTTGTGACAAAATATCCTCAAGCCAGATGCATGTTTATTCTAAGAATCGTCCGCCAACGTCAACAACAGTCAAGTGTCAGTCGCCGGGCTTACTTTCAGATTCAAGAATTGAAAGGAAATTACCATCCGCTTAGTTTGACAGATTAAGGATGGAAAAGAGATGGCAAAAGGATCCTAACCTTGCAGATCTTCCCCCTCAGTGATGAATGATGCAATCAGAGAACTATTGTAAAATAATTTGGAAAAGGACATTGCCATTCTGCAAAACAAGATTAGCTAATGAATGCAGGTAGTTCATAATGAAATACCAGTTATGAAGTTGAGTAATAGACAACTCTTTTACATAAGTTTCAATCGACAAAATTACTTCTTTCATCATTGTACCTGATGAAAATATGGTGATATAAAACATTGACTGTCATTCTATTTCATAATTATTTGGAATGACTATTGGTTGATACATATTCATCACAATATTTCTTCATGTTAAAAATTGTCACACAATTGAAAAATGAAATTTTTTGGCATAATCGTAGCATACATATAAATGTGGATGTCCAGATATGATTTTCATATTTCTCTGAATGATTTTTGTAAAAATACAACAATATGATGAGACTAATCCTTATTAAACCTTATATTTATGAAAAGCCTGTAATCTGAGCTTTATTTTGATATATAACATGACACAATTGAGTAGATCACAAAAAAGTTTGCATTTATATCTAAGATTGCGAAAGTGAAGATGACCCCTATGACCTTGAGGGTCGAATTTGACCTTGTTCCACCACTGAGATTTTCCTAGACTTTTTATATGTTATGAAGGATCTTCAGGGTCTTAAAACAGTTGAAATCATTTCTGTTGCAATTTGTGGTGGGTATTCTCATAAATTGACTGGACTATAAATAGGATAGATCATTTAAACATTTGCCAACAAGTACAATCATTTAATGAATCAGAAACATAAGAACTGCAACTGTATTCAGAAAATAACTTCGAAAATTAGAAGTAACTAAAAATCCAGTATTTGGGTGTTTTAAGAAACATTATTTCTAGAAATACTCAGCATACTCATAAAAGTCTACACCCAGATTACAGATATGTTACTAATATGTCATATCTTGCGAAAACTGTATTTTGTAACTGCTTCGGATATCCAGGCTAAATGTAACGGCGTTTGTGCTCTATAATGTGTATTGACTACGATCGTGCAATGTTTTTTCGAGTTAAATTCAAGGGACATCACTCTATGTTGCTGAGTGTGATCGTGTGACCAGTCATGTGACTTTGTAGCGACAGCGGTCGCTCCCTTCAGTCGTGCTCAATGTACAGTGTTTGAATATGGAGGAGTTATCTCCCTTTATATGTTGATTGTGAGTGGGAAGTAAGTAGGTTGAGTGGAGATTAGGTATTTGTTTCAAATATATTCTGTAACTGTTTTTTGAAATTCAAATAAATTTTTGGTGTGTCATCACAAAAGATGTAAGTTTAACTAAATCACTATCGGCAACTTTACACAAAAGTTCCTCATCAACGTCAAGCAAAGTAGAAACTTCACATTTGCCTAAGCGTTGGGATCTCAAGAAATCCTTCAGCAATTTGATGAGGTCCTTCTGAACCATGTTGCAATGCCAGTTGTTGGTGTGGGTGGTTGTTCTCACTCGGTAGCGCCGTCGCCTACGACGCCGACGACAAAAACATCCTTCGCCTTCCTCCGGAGTCACTTCCGGTATCACATTGGCTTGACATTGACATTTCACAGCAATGTAACAGAAAAGAGCAATGTTGTCATTAAAAAGGTAATCATGGAACAAATTTTGTTTCTTGATCTTATGAATATGTGTATGGAAACTAGTGTCTCTATTCATTACCGATAAATTGATGACATAAACTAAAAAAACTCTTCTTATCTCATCAAAACTGTGTGCTGTTGTAAATTCAAATATAATTTTATTCGAGTTATTTTGTTTGATGTCAAAAATGGTTAACAAACTAGTACCCCACCATGTTGACTTCCACTAAGACAGACTTACTCACAGAGTTGGTCTGATGTTTTGATTATGATCAGCGTTTCATGGAGTATTATATGTTTATTAGTTTTGGAGTTAGATTGCAATTCATCGGTCCGCTTTTGAACAAAGTGGATTATAGTATTTGAGTTACATTAGGATGTCTCACAGTTAGGATACTTTTCGAGGAAAAGATAGGACAACTATCCAAGACCATAGGAGCAAATTTAGGAAACCCTAGGAAGAGACTCTTCTCTTAAACACACATTTTAGTGAAACAAAAACGATGTCTACACTGTTTGTTATACTGCCATGATATATTTTATAAGGTGAAAAATATCATGGCAGTTTATCAAACAGTGTAACCATTGTTTTTATCTTACTAAAATGTGTGTCTATATAAGAGATGAGTCCTTATTACCTGATGCAAACATTTCATTTTCAATAATTACTCCATGATAACATCTTAAAAATATCTATTCTGATATTACAAAACAAATTTTAAATAATATATTTGATCAGACTGAGTTATATTGTATTCTTTTGGAAGAATGTCAAAGATCAGTTTCTTAAAATATCATCTACTTTAGTTTCTTCACAAGAAATACAGTGGAAATCCCTTTTAAAGGAATCAACACCCATTCTTGATAAAGTGTCTGCTGTACAATTTTTCCTTCCCCTCAATGTATATCATTTGAATCCATTGTTTTGCAGTGGAATGAACAAAAATCTGAATTTGTAACCAACCTTTTATTTTCCCACAATTGTTGATTTATATACACACTAATGAATGCAAGACACTGCACGAAAGGTGCAATATCTTACCCAGGTCTGATTATGACTGAATCATCTAACAAACGTTTAAATATCTATCATCTAACACACAGATGTTCATTCGACTCTACACTCTAACACACTCGTGTAGGATCACGAAACATGTATATTCAACAGAAACATGCATGAAAATTTCATGCAGATGTCCTATCCGTGAAGCGTATTGTGTTCACTTGCACAACACATTGTCCAAGAACAAAGACATCTATAACAAACTGAACATCAAATCGCCACCAACTGTGGTACACATGAGCTATAATATTCAATCTTAAAAACAAAGGTTACAAGGTGGACAAAGGTAAAAAAGTAAATGATAATTACAAAAAAAAGACATATTGTGATGTAATAAATGATCATAACGAAAAAAAGGAAACATTCATTGCCGAAGCTTTAAATAACTTGTCAATAGCTGTAAATAATAAAGACTGCAGAAACTTTTGGAAACAATTGAAACGTCTCCCTGCTAGTAAACATGATGAAAATGATATAACACCAAGTGAATGGTTTGTATACTTTAAAGATCTTTTAAATCCTTCTGATAGTCAAACTGAATTTGATCACGATGTTGCACATTTTCTTGAAAATCATGATAGTTTTCCATGTGAAAAATGCTTGAACATTGATATGTTATCAGATACCATCAGCCATGAGGAAATTATTAAAGCGATCTCTGATATTAAATCGGGCAAGTCACCAGGAATTGATGGCCTTCCACCAGAATTCATGAAGAATGCACCTTCCCTTGCTGATCATCTCTATGCATTGTTATCCCCCGCAACGCGTTTTGCGGGGGTAATAAAATGGACTCCGTCCGTGCGTGCGTCCGTCCGTCCGTCCGTCCGTGCACATTTGTCTTTTCCAGCGCAAAACTCTGAAACTGTTCACTATTTCTTCACCAAACTTGGCACATAGATAGATCTGGTGGTGTACTGGTGCCTTTTGGTAGTTTTGGAATTTTGAATAAAATATTTTTGGCGTTTCCATGGCAACAAGTTGACAGCCTGAAATTGGTGGTAGTGCTCTTTTCCGGAGCAGAACTCGAAAACCGTTAACTATTTGTTCACCAAACTTGGCACATAGATAGATTAGGTGGTGTACTGGTGCCTTTTGGTAGTTTTGGAATTCTGAATAAAATATTTTTGGCATTTCCGTGGCACCATGGCAACAAATTTGACTTAGCCTGAAATTGGTGGTTGTGCTCTTTACTGGAGGTGAACTCTAAAACCGTTCACTATTTCTTCACTAAACTTGGCACATAGATTGGTCTGGTGGTGTACTGGTGCCTTTTGGTAGTTTTGGAATTTTGAATAAAATATTTTTGGCGTTTCCATGGCAACAAGTTGACTTAGCCTGAAATTGGTGGTTGTGCTCTTTTCCAGAGCAGAACTCGAAAACTGTTCATTATTTCTTCACCAAACTGGACACATAGATAAATCTGGTGGTGTACTGGTGCCTTTTGGTGGTTTTGAAATTCTGAATAAAGTATTTTTGGCTTTTCCGTGGCAACAAGTTGACTTAGCCTGAAATTGGTGGTAGTGCACTTTTCCGGAGCTAAATTCTAAAACCGTTCACTATTTCTTCACCAAACTTGACACATAGATTAGTCTAGTGGTGTACTGGTTCCTTTTTGGTAGTTTTGGAATTGGTGATAGTGCTCCTTTCTGGAGCAGAACTTTAAAAACCTTTCAATACTCTCCTTCCACTTTTCTATAATACACACCTAAATATTTGACATAATCATACCTCGTAGACATAATCATGAAGAGTATTTTGCCATTGCGGGGGATATTGATGACTTTGTCTTCTTGTTTAATGTCATTTTAGATTCAGGAGTATTTCCCTCTGCTTGGAATGTTGGTTTACTGGTACCTATCTATAAACAAGGAAATATGTCTGATCCCAACAACTATCGGGGAATATCCATGTTAAGTGTCATTGATAAAATTTTCACTTATGTTCTTGCAAAAAAGACTGTATAGCTGGGCCGAGTTTAATGCTTTACTTAATGAAGGGCAAGGAGGCTTTAGAAATGATTATTCTACCATAAATAATATGTTCTCACTCCATTCTTTAGTTCATAAGTACCTGCGTAAAGCAAAACATCGTTTTTATGTTGCTTTCATCGATTTCCGCAAGGCCTTCGATCTTATTGATAGAAAAACAATGTTATATATTCTACTTGAAAAGGGTGTACACGGCAAGATGTATAAAATCATTGAGAACATGTACTCAAATGTATGTGCCTCCGTTCGTTCTGGTAAATCTAGAACAGATTTCTTTTCAACCAATAATGGTGTTCATCAGGGCTGCATGCTCAGTCCGCTACTATTCATCCTATTCATCAATAAACTTGCAGACGATCTCCATCATGGCAATACTCGTGGAATTTATGTAAATGAATACATAGAAGCTATTAAGATATTACTGTTCGCGGATGACATTGCACAACTAGGAGATAGCATTGTTGATTTACAAAGAAAATTAGACATTCTTGAAGATTTTTGTAACACGTGGGGCTTTGAAGTAAATCTGGATAAATCTAAGGTGGTTGTTTTTCGAAATGAAAAATGTTTTTTTAAAAGTTTACCTGTAGAGGCCACCCCTTATTATAAATATTTAGGAATTGTATTTTCATCTCGTTTAGTTTGGTCCAAAGCATGTAAAACGCTATCTTTACAAGCCAGACGTGCATGTTTCCCTCTGTTTCAACTGTTCACCAAGTATCAAAGTATGTCTTTAACTATTGCTAATAATAGATTTGTCAGTAAGATACTACCAATTCTAACCTATGGAAGTGAAATTTGGGGCTATACTTATAGAACGTGTATTGAAAAGGTTCATAGTGAGTACTATAAAAGATTTCTGTTACTCAGTAAAAAAACTGCATCATGTGCTGTACTTGGAGAAATTGGCAGATATAACTTGTGTGTACATTACCATTCAAGGTGTATTAAATATTGGTGCCGAATTATTCGTATGGACCAAAACAGATACCCGAATGCCTGTTATAAGATGATGAAAGCCTATGATGATAATGGAGACACAAACTGGGTTTCACATGTTCGAATGCTTCTTTTTACTACAGGTTTCTCCTATGTCTGATTAGCCCAAGATTGTGGCGATGTAAATCACTTCATGTTTGAGTTCAAACAACGCTGTATAGATATTAATATACAACACTGGAATAGTAAAATAAGAAACTCATCATTTCTTGTAAATTATAGTACATTTAAGTCACTTCTTGAACCTGAACTGTATATTTCCTGTGGCGCATTAAACAAAGATCTTATGCGAATGTTAATCAAATTCCGATGCCAATCACATAACTTGAATATAAAAAAAAATAAATAATAAAAATATAAATGCTCATCTAAAAGTACCTGGTCCAAAGTTGATGTAGACTTAACCTTGTATTCTGCAGTTTCTGAATCTGAACACTCCAGTAGGTTGAGCGATGATCTGCTGTACCTGAGGAGACTTCTTTTTCTGTATTTTCCAGTCGTAATAACCAGACAAGGTACGGAAATCATTGGGTTGAAGGATCCCTCGGCTTTCAAGCTTTGAGTGATGTTGGTCAATATACTATAACGCAGTAGTCAAAACTCTGCAAACCACGACTCCTGTTGTATTCACTTGCATTGATGTGAAGCCAACATCAGATTTCTTCAAAAGCTTCAAAACGTCGTTGAAGAGTGTATCTTTGGCAGTCACTACTTTTCTGAAAACAATATTCAGAATTATACAAATGAAGTTTTATCATTCGGAATCATTTTATCATTTTAAAAATTCAGCCATCAATTTATGATTTTTCTATTCAAAGTCTTAGTCATGTTTTATAAAACACATGAAATTTGACAAACAATTTTATCATGAAATGTATGCCTTCAAATATTTCATCAAAAAAGACTTGCATTATTTTAGTCTTCAAATATAAGTTAATATTCATGTAGGATATAGTTTAATAAATTCAAATAGTCATGCAGGATACAAGATATATACAACATTTGACATTCAAATGCATATATTAATAGAGAGAACAGAGCAGAGACAGTGTGCTTTTCTATATAATATATGTTAATGTATCAGAATATATGAAAAAATTGACAAAGATATAAAAGACAGATGGGAAAGAGAAGGCAAAGCAAGGGTATTCTGTGCTATCTACTATGCCTAGTTTCTATTACATAGTACAGCCATGTAGGGTATGTGATATGCACATGTATGAACAAATATTAAATGAGGATATTTGATGCCTCATTAAGTTTTGTCCACACACAAATGCAACCGCAAGTAAAATTGCCTTCAACCTTTGTAAACAGTGTTTAAACTGACTGACTGACTGAGTATGGTTTTACGCCACTTTTAGCAATATTCCAGCAACATCACGGCGGGGTACACCAGAAATGGGCTTCACAACAGTGTTTAAAAATAATGGAGGTGTCAAAATTGCAAATGCTGTGTGCCTTCCCTATAACTGATACAGGTATTAAATTAAATTTTCTTCATCAGTCTTGTCAATAGAAGACTATGAAATCATATTAAGTATTTTAAAATGTGGGAATGTTTTACGGGTATTGATGAATGTTGTTCATTTCTTTATATGGATGCTTATTACCCTACAGAACTGTATTAAAGTTAAATATACAAAAGAAGGCAAAAGTTAATTGTTGATATACCTCTATTTCAAGCTGAAATAGTAAAGACAGTTATTCACTCTAGATATATTTATAAAACAAAAACACTCAATCTGTTTCACAAATTAGGTAACATTTATGAAATTTAATCTGAAATCTTATCATAAAAGTG